AACACTCTTGATCCCCAAAATGTCCCTTTACATGACTTAGGCCTACTAAAGACTGGTGCTCATGCACAACCTTAAGTTGATGCTGGGTTATGAAACTTAATTTTTATAAATGATAACATTTTAAAAGTCTGTTAACTTTTTAGTGGTCTGTTATTGAGGCTAACCCTTTTCAGTGGTCTGTTATTGAGGCTAACCCTTTTTAGTGGTCTGTTATTGAGGCTAACCCTTTTTAGTGGTCTGTTATTGAGGCTAGGCTAACCCTTTTTAGTGGTCTGTTATTGAGGCTAGGCTAACCCTTTTTTAGTGGTCTGTTATTGAAGGCTAACCCTTTTTAGTGGTCTGTTATTGAGGCTAACCCTTTTTAGTGGTATGTTATTGAGGCTAGGCTAACCCTTTTTAGTGGTATGTTATTGAGGCTAGGCTAACCCTTTTTTAGTAGTCTGTTATTGAGGCTAGGCTAACCCTTTTTAGTGGTCTGTTATTGAGGCTAGGCTAACCCTTTTTTAGTGGTCTGTTATTGAGGCTACGCTAACCCTTTTTTAGTGGTCTGTTAATGAGGCTAACCCTTTTTAGTGGTCTGTTATTGAGGCTAGAATAACCATTTTTATCCCTTTTTTACATGACTGGTGCTCATGGGTTATGAAACTTGCTTTTTTATTAATGGTAAAAACATGTTTTTGGCATATGCTGTATGAATGAATTGGATGTAGCCTTGAAGTCTGAAAAGGAACTGCGTTAAACCTGCATTCTTTCTAATGGCCACTAAGGGGTGACTCCACTTACAAATAAGCATTTAAGTCTTTAAAGTGAACCGACTACATCTCACTTGATTTGACCTTTTGACGAGTTTATGGTCTCAATCTCTTGTTTCAAATCCTTTTCAATTCACTGTTTAGTTTATTTTGTAAATTATAGTCTTTTTAATAGTAAAATTGACAAATGTAGGGTATGCTTTTGAGGCATAGCGATCCATATATCGCCCCAGCTCCAACCTCTTGTTCAAATATTGTCTCATTACCCTACATCTCATTTGCTTTCGACTAATTTATGGTCTCAATATCTAGTTTGACGTGTTCTCCAATACAGCAAGTTACCATTTAAAGTGGACAAAAATGTAGACTTTGCTAAAGGTCAGGGCTACATTTTGATAATGTTGGAGGCAAAGCAATCGATAGACAGCTCCAGCATTTTCGCTTAAATATTGGCACTTCTGGTACCCAAATAACCTAAATTGACAAGGCCAAAAACCAAAACGTTTCCTCTCTGCAGGTACGGTGAACAAGGCACCCCATTCTGCGTGTCCATGGTGGACAGCCGTCGACGTATGGACAAGGAATTTTCCCGCCGAATCCACGATGCCGTTGAGAAGGCGAGCCTGGACATCCATTCGGGAAGCTCTTCGGACGAGGAGGATTGCAGCAAAAACAACAGCATGAGCAGCAGCAACCAATCATCTCTCAGCTCGATCTCAATCCCAACCATCAACCCAGAGCCCAAAAGCATCCCGACCGTCAGCAACCCCAACAGCGTCTACCGGGTAGGATTAAAATCACAAAGGGCCATTTATTATAATTTTATTTTTCTTATTGAAGTGTTTTCTAGCCTTGGCTATCACAAACCTGAAGACATTTACAAAATTGGGCAAACCATTTGAAAGAAAGCATATACTCAAGTGTTGTTGCAATTTTTAGGTATTGTACTATCATATATTTGGTAGCCATTTGATTCACATGTTTTACTGTCTTCTGCTGACCTCTAACCCTCTGCTCCTCTTCCTCAGTTCAGCGAGTTTGCTCCAGCCGCCCCTCAGACCTGGCTGAGGGAGAAGAGGAAGGCCTTTGCTGGGGATGCGTTCCCTCCTCTTCCTCCCCCAGCCGGAGCTCCACCTTCCCAGTTCCCCTACCAGAAAAGCTTCAAGAACCATCGAGCCACGTTCACCTTCGCTGGGCCTCGTGTGGACAAGTACCACTGGGTCAGCAAGTCCCGATAATGTGAGCCTTCGACCTAGAACCAGAATCGGGTTACTGCTCTGCCGACATGATGCCGGGTCAAAGCAACACATATAGATATAGACCTGTATGCAGCAAAAAAAGGACAGTTTATGCATCTTTAAAAAGGTTTATTATCAATGAGTGTTAATGATTTAAATGAATGTTTAAGTGTTTTTACTCTTTTGAAAATATTGAAGTATTTTAAATAATTCCCCTTCTAAATGTGTTTTTAAACTGAAATTAAAGTAAGTGTGAATAAAGTAACATTGAACTGTCAATTGAAAAGAAATAAATGACTAAATCTCAGCTCTGCTGGTTCATCTAAACCCGTTTCCTCTAATTTCATTTTTCTGCTCATCTTTTTTAAAGGGGTCATATTGCAGGTGTATATCAGTATGTAGTGTCTCTACTTTAAAGAGTCCTCTCCTGCTGATGTTCAGGTGTATACCAGCATGTAGTGTCTCTACTTTAAAGAGTCCTCTCCTGCTGATGTTCAGGTGTATATCAGTATGTAGTGTCTCTACTTTAAAGAGTCCTCTCCTGCTGATGTTCAGGTGTATATCAGTATGTAGTGTCTCTACTTTAAAGAGTCCTCTCCTGCTGATGTTCAGGTGTATATCAGTATGTAGTGTCTCCACTTTAATGAGTCCTCTCCTGCTGATGTTCAGGTGTATATCGTTTAATGTCTCCATGCTTTAATGTTCAAAAAGCTCTTTATTCTCATACTGCCTGTGCTGCAGCATCTCCTTTCACCCTCTGTCTGAAACCAGAGCCCAGTCTGCTCTGTTATCTGGCCAGCTCTGTGATTGGTCAACCCCTTAGAGATGTCCCGCCCCTTAGCCTATCACGTGCAATGTGTCGGAGCGCTAGCCAATAGAGCAAAAGTTACATACTCCCTCTGGAGGGAACTTTGGGATTTTAGCCTTTGCAGACGTGTATATGCACAAAGACTTGTATTACACACAACAGGAAAGGGGAACCCCCCCCATCCCCACAAATCAAAATGGGGCCTCTTTAACAGCTTAGTCCGAAAGCTATAGTGTGGTGGTGGTTGTACTACCAGTAGTTAATGATTGGTGTGTAGAAACAATCAGCTAACAACAGCACTGCCTACACAGCAACCCCAATAACATTCACCCTCGAGGCGCAGACGACATGCTGGGTGAGACCTGAAGCTTATGTCAGAGTGAAGAGAAATGTTAAATATAAATACACAACTAAGCAAACAGGATAATTGTCTAGGAATCATTTTGGCAAACAATAATTTTGCTGTCTGGATATTTTGTATTTGAATATCATTGTTATGCTTTACAATGCGTCTTTTGTTTGCCATGATTTGAAAGACAACAGGTCTACTTCAGAGCATTTCTCAAACACAAATACAAATAAAACAATTTAAGTAATCAAACAAACAAACAAACCCTCAAGAGCCCATTTCATTGATTCCCTCCCAGTTTATCTGTTAAATTCAGTTATTTATTACCAAAGAATATTTGTCAGGTAAAAAACGAATTTCTCTAAAGGTAAGCCAATTTCCTAATTCAAATGGGATCCAACAAATGTTTGTCTTTTGACTACAGTTTTTTGTTTCCAAACAAGGTATGATGGTCCAGCAAACTTTGCGTTTATGTACTCTACTGGAATCTCTCTCCGTCTCTGTATCATTTAATTATCAAAACTGATCCAAACAGTGGTATGTAAAGAGAGCAATCCTATAACGGGTCCTACCTGCGGTCGCTGCTGTTGCACCGTTCTGTTTGCAAGTGCCCACTGAAACACAACCGTCTCCACAGCTACATCTTACTGTGTGTGTGTGTGTGTGTGTGTGTGTGTGAGTGAGTGAGAGAGTGAAAGAGTGTGTGTGTGAGTGAGAGTGAGTGTGTGTGTGTGTGTGTGTGTGTGTGTGTGTGTGAGAGAGAGAGTGTGAGTGAGTGGGCGTGTGAGTGAGTGGGTGTGTGTGTGTGTGTGTGTGTGTGTGTGTGTGTGTGTGTGTGTGTGTGTGTGTGTGTGTGTGTGTGTGTGTGTGTGTGTGTGTGCCCATGTCTCAGGTCATGCCTCGACTTGCCCTGGCAGGTATGTTGCTGGGATGAACCCGCCAGTGGGGGCAGTAAACACTGACGCTGTGACAGTTTTGTATGTTTTAACTGCATTTATTAATTGTTGCCCCATATTAAACAGTGAAGGGACTGCATTCAGAAAAGTTTCTGGAAGTTTCTCACACAGTCAGACTGAGGCGAAGGCTGCCACGCAAGGCACCACCTGCTCAAGAAACTAACATTCACACATCTCTCCATTTTGACTGCAAGGGCTGGGAATTGAACCACCAACCTTCCAGTCGCCCAGCTATTACTCTGTCTTTCTCTAAGAATATAGGCTCTGCAGATTGGTTCAACATCATGTGCAATAAAACGTATCTGTGATTACTGTAATTTGACACGTTGCACAAGGCATTGTATTTATTCATTGTATATCTGTATATTGTCACTTCTAATGTTTGGGTTTTTGTTACCTGCCCATTATAAATGTGTATTGTTGCTAACCTACAGCATGTTTACATCTATGCTCATTAATATGCACCTTATCAAAATAATAAAAAATGAAAATAAAAGTTTTCAAAATCATGTGCATCTTTACTTATTGCTTGCTCAATATTATTGCTAAACATACTTTTATTTTACTAAATCCATCTTACTTTAACTGTTTTTCTCTTGCTCACCACTGCTATATTTATGACTCTATTTGTGTTGTTTGCGTAACAGTCTCTTGCGCAAACATTTCCCAGGCTTCATTTGTTTTTTATTGTACCCTAGTTGATCTTTTAAAGCATGTACTCAGTAATGAAAAGAAGGTGATCCCTCCTATCCATTGTATCCGCTTTAGAGCAGGAGTGTCAAACTCCTTTTAGTCACACACGCATTGCACTGTAGGCCTACATGCTGTACAGAGAAACATGATCTCAAGTGGGGCGGAGCAGGAAAACCATTACATAATACCCTATAAATAAAACCCTGAAATGTTTCTCTTTCTTAAAGTGTAAACAAGGTTCAAGATGTTTATTGTCCCTCCGGTTGAAAGTAAAATTGTGTGAACTGCTTTTGCCAGGGTACTCCATGAAGACAAACAGTCAGTATGCAAAATGAACTTAATAATAAAATAAAAGGTGCAGTAAAAGTATCTACTAAAGAAAAACAATTAAAATATTGCATTCAAGAGGACTCCAAAAGGATTGCTGTTTTTATTTATTTTCTCTGTCTCAGTTGTTTTTTCAACTTTGTGTAGTTTTTGCCATGACAAGTCTGAAAGAGGCTATGATTTTTATATTCCTTAAACACTGAAAGGCACATTGGCTTCTTTCAAAGTGAGAAGAAATGGAAACGGATCAATTTCTCATGAACAACACAAAAAGTCTTCTCTATGCTTGCCAGTGTTATGTCAACTAGTCTGTATGTCAAGCACATGGTATTTATAATCCAGCATCAGGCCTGTTACTCTCATTGGGACTGCACAAACCCCAGTGGACACAGAAAAGGTAGAGTAATAACTGCTCTGCAATTTTCACACTTTGCAAAGTCGCCCAGTTGACCCTCAGAAAGGCCGGTTCTGATGCTAGCCCGCCTGCTTTAGAGCCACCAAGTAGTTGACCAGAAGTACCTCTCCTCTCCGTCTCTCTCCCCCCCGACCTCTCCACTCTGCCTCCCACCACCCCCCTGCCCCAAATGGACCTGGACTTAAACCCCCCCGCGCACACACATACACAACCTTCCCTCATCCAGCACCAGTCACTTTTCTACCGATCTCCGCTGCTACTGTACTGAAACTGTTCTTTGTACATAATTTCTCTTTTGCGCTAAAGAATACTGCATTAATGTAATTTGCTAATTTCATGTTCTGTGGATTGTGTTCTTTTTAAATATATATTAACTAGTACTTATTACTTTTTATACCCCGTTTATCCAGGCCCTTTTTGTATCTTGTTTTATGTCACACTGTGGGACTGCGAGAAACGGTATTTCAAGATTTCTGTATGTATAACACATGTAGAACTGTTGACAATAAAGCTGACATTGACTAATGCATTGCAGACTGTAAAATGTGTAAAGGGGGCAACCCCAGTTAGATTGTTAGACACATGGGATGGACAACCCCCAACCCAACCCCCTTTCTGAATTTGGACATTTGCCTTGAATTTGCATACATATTTGGCCTGTTGATAATGATTGAACCCCCGATGCTTTGTGTTACTGTTGTCGTTCTTGCAATTCGTGTTGGTTTTAGTGAAGTAAAAAAAAAAACAGTTTTACACATTGTGGACTTTGATGTATGTTATGATTCAACAACACTTAAGGAGGTTCTGCAGGGACACAATGTACCAGATGAACACATTATTTATCCTGTTAACACGTTTTCTTCTATTTCAATTCATTGATTTGAATAGAAACACAATTTGTTTATTGCACAAACATAACTGCTGACATAATCATAATTTAAGAGAATGACCTTTAATTTGTTTTATTATTAGCTCATTTAAATTACCTTTTGTAACTTCAAAATTGTTTTTTAGTTGATATAAAATACCTTAAGACCTTTCAAATGTTTTTATCACGTGGTTTGAATGACCTGTTATGCATTTAAGATGTGTTTGTATGTGTTAATCTTTTAAAGAGCTCTCCTTCTGTGCAACGCTGTGCACATTATCGTTACCTTTGTTCTTACTAACTATAATTCTTCCTGTTTTTAAATCGCTTTGAGCTACATATTTAGGATGGGATACGCTATACTATTATTATTAGTATCATTATAAAACAGTGGGATCAATGTTCTTACACTTAGCTGTGACAGAATATTGTTATATGTTGTGTCTGTGTAGTTTCTCTTTCATAACCATTACGTCTTCATGGGATTTCGATTTTTTTTTTTAATCTGTGATCTTTTGTTACCTATATTGCAACAGAAATTGCGCAGACAGCCAGAAACTCAAAATTAATACAAACAACACTTTCACTTTTGACGCTTTTTCTCTCATCCAGCAAGCAAACAACAAGCTGTGCAAAATATGAAGCATTAAAACGCCGCATACAAAATGTCATTAAATATCAAACAACAGCTCGACGGACATTTGGCTCCCTTTTTGTCATCAGTACGTAAGCCAATCAGCCAATAGGAGACCGCCTTCAAACGCCTAGAAGACTAACCGTCCAATCACAAGCGTTCTCATTGCGACGTCCCCCAACGCCTGCTCACATCCGGTCGTATATATGTTGCCACGAGTTAGCGGCGAATTTGGAGAGTGTCCATTTTGAGCAGCGAGTCGGCGTCTCCGGTATTTCTTTCCCCTTTAAAGTAAGCACGCTTTTTCTTTGTTTATATTTGTACAATTATATCAAGTCGAGTTGGTTTTATATATATCGTGTGAGTTCATATAACCGTGTTGTTTTTTTCCCGCGCTGTGTTTATATGTTATAACATGTGTGGGGGGGTTTCTTAGCAGCTAGCTTTGTGTGTTAGCTGCAGCGTTGCTAAATAACGCGGTTTTTGGGTCGATTGAATGAGTTGTTCACCAGCTGCCGTGCACAGTTGCAAATGTATGTGTGCGTTATTCTAGGTTTTGTTATTTAGTGCATGTTTGAGGTCTTTTTTACTGGTTGTTTGTTTCAGGGTTAGCATGCAACTACTAGCCGGGGCCTGCACGCTCTCTACCCCGGAGCGGCAACCAAGCAAAGCGCGGTCCGCTTGAACACTGGATTAATGCTGCTTATTGTTAGCCTAGAAAGTATTTACTATGAATTTACAAACAAACCCCAGCACGTGTTTCACACATCTGTTAGAATCTCGACGTTAAAGTTGAAGTATAGCTAGTAAATATAAATACATTGTGGCAATAATCAATTAAATAAGATTGCAGATGAATGGAAAGGTAGCTAAGCTAATGTGGTGTTCTGTTAGCCTCCTGTGTCGACTACTTTGTTTTTAAATGTATTTTAAAACTTGAGCAAGGTAACAAAGAGGAAGAGGGATCACCAAATGGGACATGATGTATTTTACAAAATAAAAGCTCATGTGGGCTAAACACGATGTACGAAATGAGAGGAAAGGGTATAAATAAGAACACACAATGGCATCTTGTTCGGGGTCCAGCACAAAAAATAATTAGTTACACTGGATTACAACATCAACTACCACACGCTTGATATACACTGTTTAATAAAGCACTACTTATTAGCCGTGCTGGGATGACATGTAACATATTTGGGAACCCTGAAGACCCATTTTGATCTAAATCAAGCCACACATATATACAAAGGAAAGCTAAATTAGTTTAATTGAAGCACCTCTTGCTCTAACAAAACGTTTTATGCAAGATTTAACTAGAAGAAGATATATCTTTTATTGACTAGTAGGAATATATGGATCAAGACCTGAAGTTCTCCTGAAATAATACACATGTAGCCCCATTGATGGTACACATATAGAACAAAATATAATTAATTCATTACAGGTTTGACAAAAGTCCACATCTTTACTGAAATTGTTTCTTTTGATGCCATTTCTGACCTGTGTTGATGCTACCCCTGATGATATGTGTATACACTTTTGCATTGAGTTAATCAACTGTTTCTTGTCCCTTCTCAGACTTTCGAATAACCCACCGTCGCAGAATGGCAGACGCTGAGCATCTCCTCATGGAAACATCGGACCAGAACGGCAATGAGGGCGAGGAGGACCAGAATGGAGCCGAGCAGGAGCTGATGGGAGGAGACGAGGAGCTCCTGGAGAGCCACGACGGCCAGGAAGAGGAGCAGGCAGAGACAGAGGCCCAGGAGCCAATAGATGCCATAGATGGCGTAGAAGCAGTAGAGGGTATAGAAGCGGTAGAGGGCGTAGAAGGTGTAGAAGGAGTAGAGGGCCAAGACAATGGCGCAGACGGAGGCAAAATTGATGCCAGCAAAGGAGAGGAGGATGCTGGGTAAGTGTAATGTCTCCCTGATACACCTTTGGGGTGTTCGGTGAAAGTGTAACATCATGAACGGGAAAAAATGTTTCTAATGCAATATTGCGTTAAACAGCATAGAGACAATTACAACTAAGTCTTCTCTGCAGTCGCTGCACACACACTTTCATCATGAGTAGCTTCCTACAACCAGGTTTAAAAGGTAATGGTAGAAATAATGACATTTAAAATGTGTCTGAACATCAAGTTCACTGTCAAAGAGCTGCAGTGCCCGTCTTTGAAAAATGCACTCCCTGAATGTTGCAGTTCAGCAGAGCATTGTATAACTAAAGTAAAAATGCATTGAATTCTATTGAAGACTCTCAGCGGTCATTTTACAACAGAGCTGCAGAAGAAAGGGCTGTGGTAGCTCGATACGTTATGCTATACCCCGTAAACATGACACAATGTTAATTGGCACTCATTTTGGTACACTTCTATTGCTCTTTTGCATCTAGCTAATATATTTGTAATTTAGCACGAGCACAATATGCAAGTGAAAGCAGTGCTTCATATTTTTAACTGTGCTAAGGGACTGCTTAATATGCAGCCATAACCATGTAAGCAATACTTTCCAGTTCATCTAGTTTCTTAGCCTCCTAGTCAACAAAGACTTGGAGAAATGTATAAATGTTTTTTATGTTAGATTAGGAATTTAACAGCAACGTTTCCCTTTGTGTTTGCAGTAAAATGTTCGTGGGTGGCCTCAGTTGGGACACGAGTAAAAAGGACCTGAAGGATTACTTCACAAAGTTCGGCGAGGTGTCGGACTGCACCATCAAGATGGACTCCAACACCGGCCGGTCCCGAGGCTTCGGCTTCGTTCTCTTCAAAGAAGCCGCCAGCGTGGAAAAGGTGCGTCACAGATGTTAACGGGAATTATTCATTTAGCATTTCTGGCTTCTTCTCAGGTGTTCACATCGATCTTTCTATGACTTTTAAAGTGTTTAGGAAATGGTAACATAAGAATTCCCAAAGATATCCATCCCAGTTTTGAGCGTGTAGAGCCTGAAGTCGACTAATGTGGGGAAAAAAGGGATTTATAGGATTAGGGTTTTTGATTGGATAGAATATCTTGTTTTTAAAAGTCTAGCCAACAGCAAATATGGACTTGTTGAATATAGATACAGATTTTGAGATATTGAATATATAAATATTCAATTGGTAAATACAAATGAGGGTATTCTCATTTTTATAAGCAACTGTGAATAAATGGAGCATCTCAAACTAAATATTGTGCCAAAGATATATTCACTTAAACACGATGCCATCGCAGGAACAAGTTGGTAACTTGTCGTGTTAGCTCAAGCTGTGACTTGCATCAACATTGTATGAAATGAAAGGACACGACAACATGAATTGAGTTGTGTGTGCTGCACCTTTCCTAATTCCCTGAGAAGTCAAATGACAAAAGAGGATATTTTTGGCTCTTAGCTGTGTGTTAGCCCTTAATGCTAACTGTAACTGTGTGTTCAGGTCCTGGAGCAGAAGGAACACAGACTGGACGGCCGTCCAATCGACCCCAAGAAGGCGATGGCCATGAAGAAGGAGCCCGCCAAGAAGATCTTTGTCGGGGGTTTGAACCCCGAGGCAACAGAGGATGCTATCAGGGAATATTTCGGAACCTTCGGAGAGGTCAGTGATACTGGATAAGGCCAAATAAAACCCCGGGTTAGTGCCACCGGGTGTCATGTTAAGAACCACTGGCAGACAGGAGAGCTGCAACTACTTTAAGAACTGAATGTGTTTGTTCTGAAAGGAGAAATGTTAGAATAATATTTGGTCGCTTGCAGTAGCTGCAGGTTTCAAAGGGCACCAACATGAGCTCCTTCCTGTGGTCTGTTGATTTCTCCCAGAGAAACAAAGAGGCTAATCATTTCAGTTGGAAGGAATAAAATCCCTTAATCTTATCCCCAAAACATTGGGGGTTGTTTAATGCTTTGTATATTTTTCATTTAACATTATTTCAATCGTATGCTTTTCTTTATCGGCTGACAACAAGAAAACATATTATGGCAGGTACTTGCATTAACGTGTCTGCTGCCACCTGAGAGGCACTCAGCTGTAAACCCTGCTACTCGGGCATATCATTAATACAGTACAGTCTTTTGTAATTTACCATAACCCGCCTCGCCTCGTATGTTGAGAAATTATCACAGGATTATCTTTAAATAGGAAAAAGTCAAACTCTTATGGTTTTTGTTTTTAAGTTAGGGGGCAGTTTCTTTATCGGTTTGACTCATGTTGTCCCTATTTTTTGTCCCTAACCCCCTTTGCTCACTGTTGAGGGCATCAATGATCTTAATATTGCATTATGATATTACCCAGATAAGAAATGCACACTAAAAGAAAAAAGTTAAATCTCCTTTTGATTGCATAACATATTCCTAGAAGTCGAAGCCATTAAAATTCAAATGAATAAACAAAAAAAACTGGCAAATAATTTAAGATATCTTTGCAGTTACTTGACAAACCAGAATTTTGAATTCTTTAGTTAAATTATTTGCGGCGGCATATTTCAGTTTTTATAGATATACTTTGTTTTTATACCGTTTCTTGAACAAAATCCTTCCCTTCTCCCTCTAGATTGAAACCATTGAGCTTCCCATCGACCCCAAATCGAAGAAAAGGAGGGGCTTCATCTTCATCACGTACAAAGAGGAAATCAGTGTCAAGAAGTGTCTGGAGAAGAAATACCACACCATCCAGGGCGGCAGGGTAAGTCATATATTTCTGCATACAGTGATGATATTTGCTGAATCAGATTTTGCAGAAACTGTTTTTTTGTCTCTAGTCGGGATTAACGGTGTGTGTGCGTTTTTTGTTTTATCTCCAGTGTGAGCTGAAAATTGCCCAGCCAAAGGAGGTGTACCAGCAGCAGCAGTATGGGGGGGGTCGTGGTGGAGGTTATGGAGGCGGTCAGGGAAGAGGCAGGGGCCGTGGAGGTGAGAATTTTAAAGAAATTGAATCCAAGCTTGGGACACCACTTAGGTCACACCAAGCCCCCAGGAAGTGCTCCGGACTCTGTGCCCAATATTCATAGTGGCCAAACGGCGGTACTGCAACTTCCGTATCAGTCCGTGACATCACCCGGCCCAAAACAACTTTTCCCATTGACTAACATGGGGAAACACGTCTGTAAATCGGTGGATACATTTTTTTTTAAAACTAAACAAACGTCCCAGTATGAACTATTTTATAGCCCTTATTAAAATCATTCGGTCCTTAAAGTTGTAAAATGCACTAAAAGCCGAATCTAGATTTATTTTCTGTCTCCATTCATTCTACTGAGGCCGAGAGTGGGGGGGCGGGGCTTAAGGGGCGCATGCTCTGCGACTGCACATACCAAGCCCCCAGGAAGTGCACCGGACTCTGAGGAAAATATTAGTTGTGGCCAAACGGTGGTACTACACTTCTGTATCAGTCACTGGGGCCGGAAAGACTTCTGTAAATAGTTGGATACTTTTTTTAAACTAAACTACCCAGTATGAACATTTGTATAGCCCTTCGGTCCTCAAGTTGTAAAATGCGCTAATAACGTTATTCTGAGTTATTTTCCTCGGCATTATGAACACGGATCTAACCCACGGGACCGCGCCACCCGGCACGTTCATGTGACGTGTTCAGTACTACATGAGTTTTACCTTTACTCATGGATGCACAATAAGAACGGATTATATGAATACTTTTGTGACGTTTCGCTCGCTCAAAAGTTGGGCCATTTTGCCTTCATGCGCCAATGAGCAGCTCTCATGAGTGAGCGAGGCCCCGCCTCCCACGCTGTATCGAGTTCTTATTAAACATCCATGGGTCAAACCCTTTTAACTCATATTTCCTCTTTATATACATTTTCCAAGTTTGATATAACTTAATAACAAGATTTAATTTGTATAAAATACCTACATTTGAAAAACTTACACACTATTAAATCCCTGCTTATTTCTGCACCAAACACTTTTTTAACTTGTCTTGTGTTTTCTGAAATTCTATACAAAAGTTTGTCCCTTTTTAAATTCTTTGCCCATATTATGCATGGCTCTGTTAAGGCCCACTCTGCGCCATGGGGAAACATTGTGAACAAAATGTAGTCTTTTTTTATGTGATGGATAACTTCTGGTACATCTGCAGACACATTAAAGTCTCCTTAAACATTTAAAGTGTTTTTTCATGTCATTTGTCGTGTTTGGGGTTCGGTACGCCATTTTCTGTCTAGAACTTTGTTGTGACCCTTTTTTTGTTTTTGTTTTTGTTGACTCTGTGTCAGGTCAGGGCCAGAACTGGAACCAGGGCTATGGCAACTACTGGAACCAGGGATACGGTAACCAGGGCTACGGCGGTTATGGCGGCGGCTATGGCAACTACGACTATTCTTCCGGTTATGCATATGGCCCCGGATATGACTACAGTAAGTTTTTTTTGTTTTATTTTTTAAGATGGCTGCTGCAGTGTATAGATTGGACAAAGGTGGATTATTACGTTTAAAACTAGTTGTTTAACCAGCAACTGGCCGTTAAATAAGATCAGTAAAAACTATATAGCCCATAACACTGGGTTTAAAAAGTTTCTTTATCCATTTAACAAAAAGCAATGACAGTCTTTGTAAAAGAGACTTGTCTTAAGGAATTTAAATGTGTAATAATTGCACTGTTTCTCCCTTTTTCATGGTCCTGGTGTCTCTAATCACTTAATTAATTCATCAAAATGTAATAAATACAGTCTGTTATGTCAATAAGGTGTTAATTGTTCACGGGGGTGAAGTGCTCGTCCAGAAGTATGTACAGTTAAAGCTATAAAAAGCATATGATCGGTTGCAGCATGCTTCGACTTCATGCGATAAAATATACATCTATTCGTACACACCTTGCTTTCTGCTGAGGTTGCCATTGTGAGTAATTCATCAGCTGAGCCGGTTGACGTTTCGTTACTGAATTTGTCTTCTGCTTCTTTCCCATTAAAGCAGCCGACCAGGGCAACGGCAGCTACGGAAAGACTCCCAGACGGGGGGCACACCAGGCCGGCTACAAGCCATACTGATGATCACAGTGGTGCAACGTAAGAGCTACAGCTCACTCCTTTTTACTTACGTGTCCACAGGCACCACCAAACACTTAACTGCATCTTATAGCTTCTTCAAGTTCAACATGGAAATAAATGAAAGATGCGCTACATCATTCTGACCCGTTCGCCCTTATTTCTCTCCAGGAAGCTTCGTTTAAAACATTGACAGACACAATTTAAACATATTTTTTTTGTATGTTAAGTTAGTCTCTATTTGATCGGGACAGTGCATATTCTAAAAAATAAGGTTGTCATCTTGAAGAGAACTTGTCTTAGTGTTTAAGGTAATGATGTGTCTGATAGTTCCTAAAAAAGACTGACTTTTGTAAAAAAAAAAAGCCAGTTTTAGCCAGAATGCTATGTCTTGTTACAATATCCATTATTTTAATTTATGGCAACACAAAAAAAAACATAGGAGCGGTGGAGTGATGAGGAGGTGCCGTTGTTCTGGCGATTTACTCGAGGGCCAGTCCCCAACTCGGCTCTTTAGTTCCATGGGGGTACTAAGTGCTGGGAAGTGATGGCGCATTTCCACTACAGGGCCTCGCTCGGTATGGCTAGGCCTCGTTAGGCCAGGCTCACTTTATGCTGCGTTTCCATTACAGTTTAGTAGCTGGGGCAGTAACTATAGTAACACAGAGTAGGCGGAGCCGTGACGTCATCTTCAATGAGAACCACAGAAAACCAACATCAGCCGTTAGCTGTTAGCACTCAGAGCTCACAGCTCCTCATATCTGTTCAGAAACTAGACAAAAGTGAAACAAGTACAAACCACAGACTGTCTGTGTCATGGAGAATACAGTCGCTGCTTTATCTATGTCTGTAGGCCGTTGTTGTGAGTGTGGACGGTCGGAGCATATACTGGGTTAGCTTAGCTGATCTCCATTCAGAAAACACGCATTTTAAAAGGTGTTTCTCCTGCCGTCTGTCTGCAGACTGGTCAAAGCATTAATTCATGGTTTTTACTAACCGGGTATGTTGTTACTTCGGCATCATTTAGAAACGTGTATTACAATTAAATCACGGTCAAATATGTTCATCTTGTTGTAGCCCCCTTGCCAGCGATTCTCTCTCTAGTTTAGAATACTCAGCCCGGTTGTTGGCCCGCTAAGAACCTCGATTTTATGGGGCCAGAAAAAATGTGAAAAAGTACCCGCTAGCCGGAACTACGCCAAGTGGAAACGCAACCGCTTAAACCGCGCTGTAGTGGAAATGCACCATACAAAGTACTTGGTGTGAAAGCAGCTATTGAAGTACATTTATTTCAAGAAAGAACATTTTTAAAATGACAAATTCACGATCTTGAATCATTTTCTGAGTCAAATTGAAGTTTAGTGCAATGTTTTGAGATCTGAAGTGTCTGATATTAAATGTATTGTGTGTGTCCCCCCCCCCTCAGGACTCCAGTGAGACCGACGGCTGGATGGACACACTGGGCATGACTCGACCTCTTTTATGACAGAAGACCATTTGTACAGAAAAACAACTGAAATGTAACTTTTTTTTGTTTCTTTTTTTTTTTAATCTTTTCATTTTTAGGTTTTACTTTTCCCTTTGGTGTTTCGTTTTTTTTTTGTTTCTTCTTCCCCCTTCCACATTTCCATCAATGGAAGTGTAATTTTTACTGTACTTTTTGGTACCTGTTTTGATTCTAATGTATTGTAAGGCTTGTATTTTACATGTATGCTGGCTTTACAGGTTGAAAGATCTCGGCGCTGTAAAGGAGCTTTTTTGACAAATAAAACCGTTTTCAGTAATTTTTTTTAATTTTTTTTGGTTCTTATGCTTCCAGGTTTTGGGGTGGAAGAGTAAGACGCTGAACGGGTTTGGGATTCAAATTCAATTACCATCATTGATTTCTGTCTTTTTCCCCTTTATGTGGAACCATTTTAACTCTAGCTATAATTTGACTTTTCTTCCTCGGAAAAATTCACCATGAAATACAGATGTTGAGTGGAGGGGGGGGGGGGGGGGTGAATTAAATCTACATACCCTTTTACATAACAAGCCACTTGTTTAAGTTTCTATGCTGGTTTAGTTTGTTTGTCAAGTGTCACTGGTTTTTAGAAATAACCGCTTTGAAGTTAAATGTCTGCTTAGTTTTTTTTGTTTTTTTCTGGAGGCCATTGGAGTCTCCTCAGCTAGTGTCTCTGGCAATTTATTAGTAATAAACATCCTCGTTTGTAAAGTTTTGTGGTTTTCTAATGATTAATGTTACCGATAATGATATTTGTTCCTGAAGAATGCAAACGATGGCTTTTTCATTTTGGAATAGTTATTTATTCTGGTCCACAAACTGACTTTGATAAGACTATGGTCCCCGTCCACACATTTAAAACTCCTGAGGGGGAAAGGGTTTCAGTAAAACATGTGGTTTTAATTGGATAAAACTACAGGTTTGGTTTCAAGGTATACGTTTGGTTCTTGCTGAACCCAAGTTGTATAATGTGGTGAATATATTTCATTTAAGCTAATGGTTTAAATATGGGGAATTATTTAAACATTGCATAGAAAACGTTAATCTTAAAGGATAAACCAATTGCAACTCAAAACATCTCAGATCCAGATATGGAATAACTGCGTGTGAAATGAGAGTAGACTTCATTCATTGCATTAAAAAGGCTTCCATTCAATTAGATTTGGGATTATTTGAGTCAAAGCCGCATACAGATGAGGCATTGCACATGAATAAAGTAACACAACAGTAAATCTAAATTGATGGTTTTGTATCTAGAGTATATTGAGTACAGTATTGAAATGAAGGTACATTATTATAGGCTAGCAGAAATTCAAATGTAAATGTAAAACAATTTAAATGTAAGTACATTTTTTTTAATTAAATCCAGATCATAAAGGGACAACCTGAAATGCAATGTATACAAATGAGTGTGGTGGTCTCATTGAAAAGGATCAAACTGAGTGGGATCCTGTGAAGCAAAGAGTAACTAAAGACGCCATGGAGATGTGAGATATCTGCAAAAGGTGAGTTGTTGCTGCTGGAAGGAATGGTTTCCAACTTGCATTAAGCTCTGAAACCCATTTTAAGTGAATATATCTAAAGGAGGTGCTTGAGTAAGGTATTGGTGACCTTTTCTTTATTAAACAATAGTTCAGAGAATATTGTTCTCACGTAAGGGGTCAGAAATGGCCAATTAAGTCCCTCTGGACCATACATATCTACATAATCCTTCTATTCGGTTTGAACATTAAGATATTATGAAATACTGTACAAGAATCTTCAATAGAATAAAGGTAACAATAGTGTATATGTGTAAGCTTAACATAATATTATTGCATCTTTAAAGTGAAAATGTATATATTTATCTCAATTGTTTTCTCTAAATATACTCGTCACAATAAACTATAATGTTTAACTTCTACACAGTTTTCAATAGGAAGGAGGAGCATCTTATTTGAGATGAGCAACTAACATGTGCTCAAATTGTTTAAAATCAAGGCTGGAAGAAATACCAGAAAACGAAGAAACCTATCTTTCAAACCAGTTGTGGAGCCAAAAAGCTTGACCATGACCACGCAAAAGAGGTTTAATCTTAGTGGTGTCGCTGTTTACACTGCGATATTGACTAGATTAGCAGCGAGGGTGTTTGAAGAGACCATTATAGAAGAAGAGATTATCAGAATACAATGCTCGGTCCTTTCACTCATAAAAATGTAAAGCGTTCTCAAAGAAAAACATGTTTCCGCCCGGTCTCGAACCGGGGACCTTTCGCGTGTTAGGCGAACGTGATAACCACTACACTACGGAAACAGATGAATATGACGCGTTCAAGGACCATAATAAAACAAACCTTTGATGAACACATGCATATAGGCATGTGAAGTAGATTAGATTTTTGAGTGTTGTATTTGACACGAAAAAAGGAGCAATTGCGTTTAAATGATATTTATAGGATTATTATCAACTGTTTAATAAATAAAATACAGAAACGGAATTTTATCTGATGACATTTAGGGTATCCCCTTACCCACAAATGCTCATCAATCACTTTGGGTCACATTACAGAGGAAAGAGCGCCCCCTAAATACAGCTTGTGGCGAGAAATATATTATATCCATAGTGATAAGAACTACCATAGAGAATGAATGGTAAAAGTTAAGGGACTTAAGTCTTAATATTGCCATGCAAGATCCGTAGATTTCAGTTAGACTGGCTCAGGGCTTTGCCAATCTGCTTTCATCGAAAGATTTGGATCACAGGACTCGATTTTAGAGCCCAAGTTATAATTAAGCAATAGCTCACGACAGGCCGTGGTCTATGCTCATTATATCACAGCTAAGGGACGTGGTCCGACGCGAAGCGGAGGGTCGACAACCCCCTTAGCTGTGATATAATGAGCATATATCACGGCCTGAAGTGAGCTATTGCTTTTATAAAACGGTTACCAAGTGTGGCAATATGAAAGAAAAATACACACTCTAATTTAAATAGTTTTTATTTGTAAATAATGATGTTCAAAATAAAATAGTCCCTCCGTTGCCTTCTGCACAAAACATAGTGCGAGGTGGTTGCTATGCAACAACACTAACAGCTAGTATAGACAGAGCGTTGATCCATTATTTGGCTCTTTATTTACATTAATGTGTGTTGCCGTTTATTGTGCAACCACTGAAAAACTGTCCAGCATCAGTAGCATGGCTTACGTGGTCACTTGTATAGGTTGAGGTTGTTCTAGGCCAGGGGTGCAACCTTTTTGACCAAAAGAGCCATTTTGCTCCTTTTTCCAAAAAAATGTTTTTGTCTGGAGCCGCAAAACATATTTCATAGCTTGATAGCTAATAAAGTTGTATTTATTGTTATATCAGACAAAAACTACATTTTATAAGGAGAATTAAAAATAATACACAGGCCTACTTTAAAATAAATTAAACACAGCACTTGGGGAGTTCTCTGCACATTTGAAGGAAAAAAAATATTATTAAAATGGGCCCACTTTGAAATAAATAAAACATATAGCTGCACCCTAAAAAGAGTTAACGGTAGGGTAGGTAAGAATGGAGAAACCAGCTCGAGTGCGCTAGAATTTGAAAATACACAACCGGAAAAAATATGTCTCTTCCTTCAGATTTTTTTACAGAGTCACTCCTCCAACACACACGAACGCGCATCATCAATAAGGCCACGAGATAAGTTTGTGCACAGATGCAAGGCTGACAGGCAGGTTANGTGAGACTTGAGAGCTCTGTGGGAGTAATCAAAACTCGATTTGCCGCAATTAAACTTGGGCAGTGAGACAGCGGCAAGCAGCGCTTCCTTGGAGTTAATTATTGCGGCAAATCGAGTTTTGATTACTCCCACAGAGCTCTCAAGTCTCACGCAATTGGCGTGAGACACACGCATTTCACTCCATTCACACGCTCATACGCCACACCTTGTATTTCTCACGCAGAGATTTTCTCACCCAGAGATTCCTTTCCAGGGTACCGCCCACCAAGTTGCGCCGCAATTTTGTAAACAAACTAGGCTTGTTTCAGACGCGTGCACTCCACTAGCACCCCCCCCACCCTCCCCGTTGACATTCGCGATACAGAGGGTTGTATGGGAACTTTGAGGGGAGCCAGAAGTTGGAGTACCAAACACCGCTGCCAAAATCTCACGCTGAACTCTGTTCAAAACTCGAGAGCCCTGTAGTTATAAGACTAGCAGCAGTGTAAAACAGTAAGTAATAATTACCCAGCTAATGAGAATTGGCAGTGAAAAGCTGCAGTTTTTGGTGCAAACTAATAATTTTAAACTGATTCTGTATCAAGCTTTTCCAATGGACTCCACTTAGTCACTGAAGAGCTACAGTTTTTGGTGCACACTAAATCATTTAAAACTTATATATTAAGCCTTTCCAATCATCTACCAAGTGATTTTAGCATGCCTGACCTGCAGGACACCTCTCCAGGGTCGACCCACACAGTCATCTCCTGAGGGAGGCCCAGGTCCTGGTGCCGGACAGCGCTGCGTTCACAGGCCAGTTGCAGCACGGGGTCATGCATCCGCACATTCATACGGAGACACCTGAAAACATAGCATAGAACACAACCCTGCTGCAGCAATGTGAAGTGTGCAATATATACCTGGCTGATGAATCCTCGGAACTGTTACAGAATGTGTTTTTTGTAAACTTTTTATTATAATTTTTTGTATCGTTAGTATTTATTTATGAATGCGTCTTAGTTAACATTAAGCTGGCTCCTTTCTGCTGTAACAATGGAAACGTCCCCTCTGTGCGACTGATGAAGGTATTCTGATTCTGAAGTTGGGGGTATTAAGTGAAAGGAGTTAAATACGTGGAATAAATAGATGGAAAAATATTCATGTAAATAACTAAACCGGACAGAAATAAAGAATGCAATACATTTATTTCTACATTGTTGACCTACTTTATGCATTTGTGTGTCAATGAGGAAGAATTCCTACAGAAATAAAAACATGCAAGTGTACAAACAGGTAAAGCTTAATGTATGGCATTTATTTCCTATTGAATTCAAGTTTCTTTGCTTGCATTCATCTTTAAAACATTGCAGCATTTGCATTTTTCCCCAGTTTAATCCAAACAGCCATTTACATATTTATTAATACATCTTTTTTGCTCTCCATACTATTGTCTTCTGTTGACAATGAATAATGTTTAGCTCTAGTTCCAACGGGTTAGCTGCCATCATTTAAAAAGAACAAGTTACATTTTATACATATATGCAAGAGTATAGTTTAACAGTAGCAAAATTAGCAAAACAAGTCATGAAGTCAGCAAAATGACTTGGTAATGTCTCATCTAAAGTGGTGTTAGCGACCCTATGCTACTGATTGAGCAGGATGTTAATGATCAGAATTGAGCAGGGGTTTGTTGGCTGTTTTAATTTATCAAGACAATTAAATTAAGTCTGATCAAGTATGTAGATTCTTAAGTTTGTTTAATAGTCCTTTCTTAAAGCATTTACCTGTAGGCCTGTCCCTTCGTAGGTGCGTTGGGGTGCCAGTGGTTCTTGTAGTTTTCAAACAGAGCTGAGGTGAGGGCCGCAGCAAAGCCCTCCCTGCCTTCATTATCCACACCACCATACCTCTTCACCAGCCGAGCAACAAAGAAAACTGCAGCAGCAATCTCCTCCTTCATGGCTACACCTTCTGACCTCTTAGCTTAGCAAAAACCTGACACAGTAGACTCAAAACTGTACTGTTAAAAAAAACCTCTACAGAGAATAAAACATGTGTAGGGTGATCCTACTGTTATAGAAAAACATAAAACTAACAAGACGACAAACTGGAAGCCGGACAAGTTAAGCAAACATATTTGCTGCTGGAGCGAGAGAACTCAGCTTCTGATGCTTTTACGCCAATAAAATAATATAATATATATCCACATATATCTTAATCTCTGTGTGAAGCAGCAGCTGGTTCAGTAGTGGTGGCCTCACACACATCAAACACTAAAAAGAGTCACTCCCTCCTTGGTTTCCCATGAGGTTAAATAAAACAGTTCAGCTGTGTGACGAGCTCACACACCTGAAGCTGGTTGACTTAATTTGTGTGTGTGGGTGTGTGTGTGTGTGTGTGTGTGTGTGTGTGTGTGTGTGTGTGTGAGTGAGTGAATGAGTGTGATAGTGAGTTGAGTGATCGATACATTACATTATAGGCTACAAGTTACAAACAGTTAAAACATTGTTTGAATGAGAATATTATTGGACCACTTTTTGTACAGAATTACACAGGCCTATGTTTATTTGTA